AAATTTGAATGACTAAAATTTATAATATATAAAAAATATTGAACGCTATTACACTACTGTAGGTTACAGTACAGAGTATAGTTCAATTTTAATTAAATTTTATTTTACTGTACACAAACATTTTTGAATTTCGTATGTACATAATAATTATTATGCATGATATATTATTTATGTATCGATTAACTAATGTATAAGAAAGTACATGCTCCAAGTACTGAAATGCTCCACCGTGTTGGTATTCAATATTTGAACATGAATTATGTCATGTGAGGACTGTATCAATAGTAATACAAATCTCAATGGCAATACAGTACACACTTTAATACTCATTTGTATGTTAGAAAACAGGGCAATTTTTATTCACAGTTAAATTAATTTTCATAAGGACTCAGGCACTTTTTCGTGCAAACAGTCTTGCAAATAACATGAAACTAAACATACTTGTCGTATTTGTCAAGGTATTCGAAAATGAGTTTCTTGATGTTTCTCATTCTAACAACTGGTACTTTTTCCAGCAGCAGACCTCCAATAGAGTTTGCCCCCTCTTTCTTAATGAACATGCACTCTTTACATGTACATGTAGTCAGAGATAATATCATCTTGGCAGACCCTCATCTTTTTTTCTGAGGCCAAAATTCCTGGACAAAATCTTTAATAAAAAGGAAGAAATTTATAATCAATTAACGTTTAATGCTTGTAAAGTTAATATTATGTCAACAATTAATGAAAACAACTACACAGTATGACAAACCTCCTTAAATTACGCTGCTGATTCCAGTTGATGCGGCACACGTTCATAATTGCCAGGCACCTTTTGGCATCCATTGTCTGAATTTTCTCCTGGTTCACTATGACTGTTGGTTTTTTTTTGACTTGGCTACTACCTCCAGTGGCTAAAGTAATAACAGTACCACATTACTGATGATAGAATTTCTAATTTAAACTTATTGTTAAAATAACAAATACTGCAGTACTGTAACTGAAATTAATTTTTAAAAAATATCTTTCCTTTTTTAAATTTCATTTCACTTTTAATTGCTGTAGTATTGCAGGTAAATTTTATGTAACTTTAAACCAAATACTTACTCTTCCTTTGGTCTTTATTGCCATTACATTGTTCAAATCTTTGTGCACAATACTGTGTGCAAGTCCTGTTAGTTCAGGGGGGAAAACGTCGCTTTTGGATGCAGTATTTTCTATCTCCTTCACTGCATTTTTATAGAAAGGAAAGCTCTTTCTCTGCTGGTCATGCAAATTTGTTGTTTTGTTTTGTTGTTTTGTTGTTGTTTATTAGCTTAAGATTTGCTGCACATGTATTGCCCTTTAATTGGACGTTTATTAATGCATTTACTACAAGTGGTGGTCAGTTATGTCTTGTGCATTGAGATCAGCATTACACATAATGCAATGTACTATTTGGCGCCCAATTGCTTTGATAGCTTGGGTTAAGCAAAATTTGCAATAGAATTGGTTGCATTTAGTGGCAGCACTTTCAATTGACATAACTTTGTTGCAAATGTTACATTTGTATATTGTTGAAAGGTTGTCATCTGCTAATTGAAATACATCACCTAATGCTGTGTAAGATATGCAAGACTCATTGACAAACTGTCCAATATCACATTTATTTTTGTTTATCACGCTTTTCTTTTTTTTTTCTGCGGCCAGTTTTTAATTGTTCTTTTAATAAATAACATGCGACGCATTTAATGTGGTGCTTTCTAAAATTGAATGATGGTTTGCTGGTTTGTCCAAGACACCCTTTTGAATGGCATGTGTTGCAAATATAGTGTGGGTGTACATCATCTTTTTCTTCTGTTATGTTAACTGAAAATAATTTAATCAGGTTCCTTTCCAAATTGTTCACTTTGTACTTTTGTTCC